ACCCCCTGGAAGCCACACCCAGACCCCGGACGCCGCCAAACCCAGACCTCATGCTCCCCGACCCCGGACACCCACCCCACCTCCCCCTTCTCTCAGGATCTCAGGGCCTGACCAGCCGCCACCTCCTGGAAGAGACTTAGGAGCCGAGGTGGAAGGTCTGGCCCGTGGGGAGCATGGCTATGGCTGCAAGAGAAACTGCTGTTTGAGGTCCAAACACAACAGGGGGTGCAGCAGGTGTGGGGTGCGCGGTGTGCGTGTGTAGATGAGTGTGTGAGTGTGCGGTCACGGTCCTTCAGAGCTGAACTGGCCAACTGAAGAGGGAGCCCATTGGGGAGATTGGAGCGAGCGAGTGAGCCTTTCGCCAGCAGAGGGCAGCCGCCACCATGGCCTCCCAGAGGGAGTCGGCCAAAACCTCAGCCACAACCACCGCCCGGCCTGGCCTGGCGACTGGCACATTCCTAACCCGCCTGGCTCAGCGGGCCTGTCCTCAGGCAGCCCGGGCACCTGTTTTAGCTCAGAAGTTGTCAGGATCGATGACCTCAGTTCCCTGCTTGCCACCCCCTGCCTTTTCTTTCTTCTTAAAAGGTGTTTATTTTTGTTTTCAGTCCTCACCCAAGGGTATGTTTTCATTGATTTTGGAGAGAGGAAGAGAGAGGAGAGAAACATTGACGTGAGAGAAAAACATCTATCAATTCCTCCTGTACGTGCCCTGCAACCTGGGCATGTGCCCTGATGGGGAGTCAGACCTGCCACCTTTTGGGGCACAGGACGCTCCCCGGAGCTGCCCGCCGGGGCACTGCCCCCCGCTTTTCCTAAAGGCTGTCTGGCTTCGGAAGCTTCCTGCCCTGGATGAGACACATTCTGAGAAGTGGGGAGCCTGGCTCAGTTCATGGGGGAGGGACCCCAAAACCAAGGAAGGGCTTGTGAGGGAGGAGGAAATGGGTGAGGGTGCTGGGCCATGGTCTTCAGCACCTCCACTCAACAGGTCCCTGGGGGCAGGCGGGCCCCACACGGGGAGGAGGAAGAGTAACCAGCATAGGTGAGGGCTGCGGCTTGGCGCTGGTGTGGCCCCTCC